TACACCACGGTCTTCCCCTTGCGCGCCAAGGGTGACGTCCCTGGTGTTTTGATCCCCTGGATCAGCCGAGCCCGTCTCCAGCTAGGCGAGCGCTTTCACTCGGACTTTCCTGTCCTGCGCTTGCACTCTGACAGAGGTGGTGAGTTTGCCTCCGACCTCTTGGCAGCCTACTGTGCTGAGCACGGCATTGAGCAGTCGTACACGCTTCCGGCCTCTCCACAGCAGAATGGGGTTGCTGAGCGCCGCATTGGCTTAGTCATGGAGGTCGCTCGTACCTCCCTGACCCATGCGGCTGCTCCCCACTTTCTGTGGCCGTTTGCGGTCCGGTACGCTGCGCATCAGCTCAACCTCTGGCCCCGTGTCTCCTTGCCGGAGACTTCCCCGACTCTGCGGTGGACGGGAGAGGTTGGCGATGCGTCGCGTTTCCGGGTGTGGGGATCCCGAGCTTTTGTCCGCGACACGTCTGTGGACAAGCTCTCCCGTCGCGCTCTTCCCTGTGTCTTCCTTGGCTTTGTTCCCGACGCGCCTGGATGGCAGTTTTACCACGTCACCTCGCGCCGGGTTCTGGCCTCTCAGGACGTCACTTTTGACGAGTCCGTCCCCTTCTACCGCCTCTTCCCCTACCGCACTGCCCCCCTCCCCCCTCCGCCGCTCTTCCTCGCTCCAGGTGCTGAGGTACCCGACCCCCTCCCCCCTCAGGGTGCCGCTCCCTCAGGTGTGTCCCAGGTAGACCCGGGTGAGCCTGTCGAGGTAGCTGTTGACTCGCGTCCTGCGTCTGGGGGTGCTGAGCCTGGGAGTGCTGGGTCTGGGGGTGCGGAGCCTGGGGGTACTGAGCCTGGGGGTACGGAGCCTGGGAGTGCTGAGCCTGGGGGTGCGGAGCCTGGGGGTACGGAGCCTGGGGGTGCTGAGCCTGGGGGTGCGGAGCCTGGGGGTGCTGAGCCTGGGGGTGCGGAGCCTGGGGGTGCGGAGCCTGGAGGTGCTGAGTCTGGGGGTGCTACGTCTGGGGGTGCTGAGCCTGAGCGTGCTACGCCTGGAGGAGCCCTCTCCTCCCAGCAGCTGCAGGAGAGGTACCTCGAGTACTGCCGCCTCCGGAGAGGTGCTGCTGGAGCTCGTCCCGGTACTTCCCCTCCTTCCCAGGAGCTCCCCCCCATTCAGGTGATTCGAGAGTGGTACACACGGCGCTGCAGTCTTCGGAGTGGTGCTCCTGGTGCTGAGGACCCGGACGTTGGAGCTGCTCCTGGTGCTGCGGACCCGACTGGTGGCGCTGCTGCTGGTACAGAGGACTCGGACGTTGGAGCTGCTGCTGGAGCTGAGGACCCGAGCGGTGGCGCTGCTGCTGCTGCTGAGGACTCGGGCGTTGGAGCTGCTACTGGTGCTGAGGACCCGGGCGTTGGAGCTGCTACTGGTGCTGAGGACCCGAGCGGTGACGCTGCTGCTGGTGCTGAGGACCCGACCGGTGACGCTGCTGCTGGTGCTGCGGACCAGGGCGTTGGAGCTACTGCTGGTACTGAGGACTCGGGTGTTCGAGCTACTGCTGGTGCTGAGGACTTGGGCGCTGGGGCTGCCGCTGGTGTCCCTGCTGCTTCTGGAGACGCTGCGCGGCCGCGACCGTACTTCGTCCCGCTCCTTCAGCAGGTTCTTGGTCAGGCTCCTCCTCCTGGTCCTCCTCCCTCCGTCGAGGGTCCTCTACCTGTCCAGCCGCAGTCACAGTTACCGCCCGCCTCGCCTCTCCCTGCTCCCTCTCCTTACGCTGGTCCCACAGGAGGTCTTACAGAGCGTCGTGAGCCTGAGTCTCGTCCTGCGTCGCCTGTTCGTACCGCTCGCACTGGTTGTCGTGTCCCACGTGAGCGTCCTCCTCCTGTCCCTGGCACTCACTACATGACTCTGCGTCCCTCCACTGCTCCGCAGCGTGTCCCGCTGCCGTCTCCTCCTACGTCCTCTCTTCCTACTCTTCCTGACCCGGAGTCTGACTCCCGTCGTGCTGCCAGTCCCACTGTTACGCGTCTCCTCGCTACAGTTGTCACTGACCCGACCTTTGAGTCCTCTGCTGCGTCTGCTCTGGTCGCTGAGTTGGTTGACTTTGCTGCTCGCTGTCGCCTAGACTACGCTGCCAGCCTTGTCGCTAGGTCTGAGTCTGCGTCTGCCTGTCCTCCGTCCGTCGGGGGTGAGTGTGCCCTCGGCACGGACGTCCTTGAGGACAGACAGGAGGAGTTCCAGTGCCTTGCTGCTGCTTTGCCCCGTCTCGTGTCCTTGCTAGTTGCCCCTGAGGGAGACCCGGATGCACCAGACATCCCGACCCCACGCTCTTACGCTGAGGCAATGGCGGGTCCCTACTCCTCTCAGTGGCAGACAGCCATGGACGCAGAGATGGCCTCCTGGAAGTCCACAGGCACCTACGTAGACGAGGTTCCCCCTCCTGGGGCGAACATCGTCAGTGGCATGTGGATTTTCAGGGTGAAGCGGCCGCCGGGTTCTCCGCCTGTCTTCAAGGCGCGCTACGTGGCTCGAGGCTTCAGTCAGCGAGAGGGAGTAGACTTCTTTCAGACCTTCTCCCCCACCCCGAAGATGACTACTCTTCGGGTGCTGCTGCACATAGCCGCTCACCGCGACTACGAGCTTCACTCTCTTGACTTCAGCACTGCTTTTTTGCAGGGCAGCCTGCACGAGGAGATCTGGCTGCGCCGCCCCCCTGGCTTCACTGGGTCAGTTCCTCCTGGCACCCAGTGGAGGCTTCAGCGGCCGGTCTACGGTCTCCGCCAGGCGCCACGTGAGTGGCACGACACACTGAGGACGACACTTGCGGCTCTTGGGTTCGCTCCCTCTACTGCTGACCCGTCGCTGTTTCTACGCACCGACACCTCGCTGCCGCCGTTCTACATCCTCGTGTACATCGACGACTTGGTCTTTGCCACTGCTGACACCGCGGCACTCGCTCACGTGAAGTCGGAGCTGCAGAGGAGACACACGTGCACAGACCTGGGTGAGCTGACGAGCTATCTTGGCTTGCGGATCACCCGGGACAGAGCACGGCGCACCATCACCCTGACTCAGTCACACATGGTGCAGCAGGTTCTCCAGCGCTTCCGCTTCACGTACTCCTCGCCTCAGTCCACTCCTCTGCCTACCGGTCACTCGCTCTCAGCTCTGCCTTCGGATGAGTCCGTAGAGCCGAGTGGCCCGTATCCAGAGCTTGTGGGCTGCCTCATGTACCTGATGACCTGCACTCGACCTGACCTTGCATACCCTCTTAGCATCCTAGCACGCTATGTCGCTCCTGGCCGTCACCGGAAGGAGCACATGGATGCCGCTAAAAGGGTGTTGCGCTACTTGTGCAGTACGTCGGGCATGGGGCTTGTGCTTGGAGGGCGAGACCGGGTTGTTCTCATAGGGCACTCAGACGCTTCTTGGGCAGACGACCAGGCTACTCAGCGGTCGTCCCAGGGTTACACCTTCAGCCTTGGCTCTGGCTCAGTTTCTTGGCGTTCTACTCGCTCTTCTTCTGTTCTCAGCTCCAGTTGTGAGGCTGAGATCTACGCCACAGCCATGGCTGCTCAGGAGCTACGCTGGCTGACCTACCTGCTGACCGACCTCGGAGAGCGGCCTCGTTCTCCTCCAGTGCTGTACGTCGACAACAAGGCCGCCATTGCCTTGTGTGAGGAGCACAGACTGGAGCACAGAACGAAGCACATCGCTCTGCGGTACTTCCTTGCTCGAGAGCTGCAGCAGCGTGGTCAGCTTTGTCTGCGTTACGTGGCCACGGAGGCCAACACTGCTGATGTGTTCACCAAGGCGCTTCAGCCTTGTGACCATCAGCGCTTTTGCACTCTGCTAGGCCTTGTACCTACTGGGCCTCACTTGCTTACCTCTTGACCTTGCTTGTACTGTGATCACTATATATATATGCCTACTTGTTTACTTTTGCTAGGTTGTGATCACTGTATCTCTTGCTTTGTTATAAACCTGCATGTGAACTGGTCTTGTGACCGCTTGCTTGTGCTCGGAATTTGTGTGGAATCCTTGAGATCCACCCTGAGCTTGCTTTGCTTTGCTTTGACTGGTCTTGTGACCCTGTGGTTGTCTCCCACTGCGCCTATGGGGGTGTGTCAAACATTGCATGTTTATATTATGTAGGCTGTAGTGGGTTACACCTTAGGGGGTACTCAAAGTTAGGGTTTCCTACTTGTACCAAACTCTGTGCTAGTTCATTCATTCCTGCTCAGTTATTTCTGACAGCGTCAGCACGACGGACGATCGCGATTACACCGACACGATCAACGGCTCCAGATTGCTCGAGATTGAATTTCGCGTCAGTCTGTTCCCTCCAAAATCGCATCTGCCTCGACCGTCAGATTCGCACCTGCTCGATCAACGGCTCTGTTTCCAACCTTCAATTCGAATTGGCCCAGTTCAACCACGTCCGTCAGATCGAAATCTGACAGCATCAACGGCCTACATTCCAACAATTTCAAAAATATTGCCTGAGGCATTTCAGCCGACGGATTCAGCTGAGGGGGAGATCTACGGCATCCTCGCTAGGATGGGGCTTGTTTCAGTACATGGCTACCTTCTTTGGAAGGTGGGAGAGTGTAAGGAATTACAATTCCTTACTGTACTCGCACTTTAGCGAGTACATCCCGAAGGTGTCGCGACGAACCTGTTCGGCCTAATTCGTCGCACCGAACCACTCCCGAGTCGGCTCCGCACCAATCGCAACCATCACCGAGCCATCTTCGCCCTACCTCTTCGCCTAGCTAGGATTTCCCCTATTTAGTCGTGCCTTTCTCAATGTATCGCCATTCTGTAATCAATTCATTCTCGTTATTCGATATCTGCGCACTCTGACAAGTTCATTTATAACAGTAACGCCAATAGAAAAACACTAGTGGAAGGAAAGCCATTATTCTACACGTGTCATTCTTTGTTATTCTTTATTACAAACCCCGCGATGCCGACTTCCACGGGTGTGATCACCCTGCCATCCTCATGACCACCTGCTTATGATGAGTGACGTCAGCAGATGGCAATCAGCGGCTGCGACGGGCAAACCTGGTCGGCGGGCGCCCGGCACCTCTCCTGCTGTCGCCACTGCGTCTCCCTTTGATCTCCCCTCTTCCGCCGCTCCCGCTCCTCTCGCCTCCTTGCGCGCGGTATCGCCGCAGGTCCCTCTCGCCCCGCGCGTGCCGCACCAACCCACGGCAGAAAAGCCGCTGGCCTCCGCGCATCCCTCGCGCTCCCTGCCGTCGTCGCAGCCGCACAGCAAATCCCGCCGTCTGCCCTTTCGCTTCCCCGCGCGCGCCGTGTCCGCCCAGGCGCGCGCGCTCTGCCACTACGCCGCGCTCACCGTCGCCGCGGCCCTCTTTCTCGTCGTGTGGGTCGCCTTTCAGCCCGACGCGCCCGACGCCCGTGGCGCCAACGGGAGGGCCTTCCCCCGCCGCCGCTCGCATGAGGCGTTGCGAGGCTGCCCCGTGTGCGGCCGCGGCGAGGTCAAGCTGCCGCCGCTGGTGCGCCCGCTGTCCGCGCGCGGCGCCAAGGTGCGCCTCTGCATGGGCAGCGCCGCCGCGCCATTCGCGCAGGGCACGTTCGTGAGCCCCGAGGAGACGCGCGACGGGGCGAGCTTCGGCAGCCGGTTCGCGCAGCTGACGGTGTTCGAGGCGGAGGCGCTGCACGAGACGGCGGACGGCGCGGGGGACGCGCGCGGAGGCGGCGGGCAGGCGGGGCGGCAAGGTCAGCGAGGGGCGGCGGCAGTGAGGACGTGGGTGCGGCTGCTGGCATTTCTGGAGGACGAGGAGTCGATCCGCAAGACGCAGTGGGAGGGGTGGGGCGCGGCGGAGCTGAGCGACGTGTACTGGCGGGGGGCCCTGCAGGTGAAGTGCCTTGTGTGGCCCGGCCACGACCCCGCCCTGCACAGCGTGGCGCCCGCCCTCGTGGTGGACGCCGTCGTGCGCCACCGCCACCCCTGGCACATCGCGCTCGACTGCCCCCTTCCGCCCCTCGCCCCCCCCTCCGCCTCCCCCTCCTCGCCCCCCACCGACCCCTCAGCGGACCCCTCAGCAGTGGCGGTGCGAGTGAGGGTGAGCAGGAGGGAGGCGAGGCGGCACTACGTGGAGTACGGGCAGCGCCTGCAGCTGCAGCTCGTGGCGGCGCGCAACGGCTCCGACCTGCGCATGCCGCCACTGCTGCTGTGCCGGGCTGATGGCGATGCCGACCCCACTGACAGCACCTACGGTGGCGGCAGCGACGGCCCCATGGAGCCGGGCAGCCGCGCCCCGCCGTTCCCCTTTGCTGCCGCGGAGAGAGAGGTGGCCGCCGCGGCTAGTGCAGGCTCGGGAGGAGGCTCGGAACTGGCGAGGCTGATGGGAGAGGATATGGGAGGAGTCGGTGGGAAAGGGAGGATGAAGGGAGCGGGGAGAGGGGAGGGCGCGGGGGCGGGAGGGGGGGAGAGGCGCAGCGCGGAGGACATGCTGGCGGACTACGCTGCTGGGGAGGACGCCGCCCCGCACGAGCAGGAGCAGGGCGGCAGCAGCGCTGCAAGCGGCAGCAGCGGCAGCGGTGGGGGCGGCAGGAGGAGGCCGATGGGGGCGGTGGCGATCTGCCTGCGGCCGTTCCACACGCGGCAGCTCTTCTCGCTGGACGTTGCCTTCTCGCACGCGCGCCTGCTGGAGTGGATCGATGCAGCGCTGCTGATGGGCGTGCAGCGCATCTACGTGTACGACCGCCACGCCACCGCCATGACTGCCCTGCTCGCACCCTACATGCAGCGCGGGCAGGTGCAGCACGTGCCCTTCCCCCCCTGGAGCGAGGTCTTCTTCCGCCACCACCTCTACGCTGGCAAGGCCCGCGTGCCGTACCTGGTGAGTGCCGTACCTGGTGAGTGCCGTTCCTGGTGAGTGCCGTACCTGGTGAGTGCCGTACCTGGTGAGCGCCGTACCTGGTGAGCGCCGTACCTGGTGAGCGCCGTACCTGGTGAGCGCCGTACCTGGTGAGCGCCGTACCTGGTGAGTGCCGTACCTGGTGAGTATCGCTCTCAACTCATTCCCAGTCTCCTATTTGCCTCTGTCCTCAACCCCATCCTCCCTCTGTCCTCAACCCCATCCTCCCTGTGTGCGGGCATGGCACGGCAGTTCCCTGAGATCTACGATCAGATCATATCGTACGAGCACTGCCTGATGCAGGGGCGGCGGAGGGGCGACAGGTGGCAGCTGCACATCGACAGTGATGAGTTCATCTGGTACGAGCCGCGCACGGGGGGCTTCCTCAAGCCGCTGCTGGCCCGCCTCGAGCTCAACCACTCGCGCTCCCGCCCGCGCGGCAGCAAGGAGCCCCTCAGAGTGAGCGCACCAGCATGGCATGGCACCACCTGCTTGCCTTTCTCTCTCCACTCAAATTGCTGCGTGCATCTGCTGTGTTGCCTTGGGGTGCTTCACGCGCCCCACTCCTCTCATCCGACTCTCAGCAACCATATCCCCCTGGCCCCCGCTCATCTCCCCCTGGCCCCCGCTCATCTCCCCCTGGCCCCCACTCATGTCCCCCATCCTCTCGCCCTTGTTCTCCCCGGCAGGTGATTCAGCTGCGGCGGTTCAACTTCTGGGGTGTGGAGGCGGAGTCGCGGCGCGAGCCCGTGTTGGACCGCCTCACGTGGCGCTGCGCGCAGCCCATGTGGCACACCGAGGGGTGGGCGGGCTGGCATGACAAGCTCGCTGTCAACCCACAGACCATCCTGCCCTAGTGAGTGCCGCCCTAGTGAGTGCCGGCCAATCTTGCGTCCTTCTTGTCAAACCCCTTCTCTCAAATTTTCCCCCACTGTAACTTACTCTCCTCCTCTCCGCTCCCCCCACCCCCCCCCCCCCCACCGCACATCAGCTCCGTGGCGATCCACACGACCACGGCGCCACCGGAGTCGGTGGCAACAGCCCCGCGGGACGTGCTGCACCTGAACCACTTCACGGCCACGGCCATCGACCTCGCGCAGCACCCGTGCCGCTCGTGGGTGAAGCCCGTGCTGGACCGCGGGCTCACCTGGGTCACCCCGCGCGCCCTCAAGTGCCGCGCCCTGCCCTGCCGCCGCTCCACGCCCCTCGAGTGCTGGCCCTTCTGCATCCTGCCCTGGCGGGACGACGATGGCAGGGGCTCCGGTGCTGGTGGGGGCCCTGGGCCAAGGGTGGCTAAAACACAGAGTGTGGAGAGTGAGGAGGGAGGGAAGAGTAAAGAGCCCGCAGAAGATACCATGTAATGTAACTGCATGTGGGGTAGGTAGTTTGCTTGCATGTGATGCAGCATTTGGGTCATCGTAAGCTCAGTGTGGCGCATGGCCTTTCATCACCTGCTGCTGTGCTGCTCAGTGTCCAAAGCTTCACGAGAGAAATCAACCAGGATGCACTAAAGGCAATAAGTAAGCAAACACAACTGGTTCCTTTGTCTTGCATTCAGTCCACATGTACAAAAAGGCATAACGCGAGCAGAGCTGTACAATGAAGGGCGGGCTGGCATGGCATGCAGTGCTAGTGGCTAGTGCCGCAGGCGGAGGTAGATGACGGCAGCGATGGCGAGCATGAGCAGGGAGAGGATGAGTGCGGTGATCCACTTGTTGCGGTGCAGCTTGTGCGCCATGCCTGTCAGCACCCGCCTCGCCCGACTCATCTGATGGTCCACGTCCTCCAGCTGCGCACCGCACACACACACGCACACGCACACGCACACGCACACGCACACGCACATGCACATGCAGCGCACAGGGGGGGATCGCAGGGAAATGCTTTTGACGGCACAGTGCAGTGAGAGAGGTGCGTGCAGGGGCACTTATACTTTCTACTTTTAATACACCAAAGTCTCTCCTCTCCACTTCCCCTCCCCCCTCGCCCCTCACAGTGTCACCGGCGCGCAGCAGGGACTGGCGCTGCTGGTGCAGGTCGGCCAGGATGGCCACCCCCAGCTGCTCCGCGCCTGCCATCGCCCGCCGCGACTCCGCCACGCGCACCGATGACTCCTCCACTCGTGCCGTCACCTGAAGCAGCCGCGCCCGCTGGTCCGCCGCGCCCTGGTGGGCAGGGGGAGGGGGAGGGGGAGGGGGAGGGGGAGGGGCAGGGGGATGGGGAGGGGTGGAGGGCGAGGGGGAGGGGAGGGCGTGAAGATGGATGGACGTGTGCGTGCGCCAGAAGAGACACGTACTGCTGGTCCCGAAAGAGACACGTCTTGGGGATAGCGGGGGAACGCACCGACAGAGGCACATAATCCCTTCCATCTTCCAGCAGCGCTGCTCTCTCCTCCTCCGCTCGCCCCACCCGTTGAGCCCCCGCTTGCCCCTTTCCTTGCCCGCCCGCCACCACTCCCCCCTCCCCCCCCGCCTCCGCGGCGCGCTTCTTGGCGGCGAGCAGCGCGAGCTTGTGCGCGCGCAGGCGCGCCAGCAGATGCGCGCGGTCGGTGGGGGGGAGCGAGCGCGCCTCGAGATCCATCTGGCGAATCTGGGGGAGAGGGGGGAGCGAGGCGAGGGGAGCCGGGGGGGCGAAGAAGGGATATGTGCGGCGGGGAGGGATATGTGCGGCGGGGAGGGATATGAGCAGCGGGGAGGGATATGTGCGGCGGGGAGGAGAGCAACGCGGCTGGGGGTGCAGAGCGGAGGGACGAACGAGGTGGCGGAGGGAAGAGAGAGCGTGGGAGGACCCGAAGAGGGTGCGGGGGGAGCGGAGACAATGCGGGGGGGGCGAAGAAGGTGCGGTGGGAGCGGAGAGGGTGCGGGGGAAGCGGAGGCGACGTACGAGTGACTCCGCGTCGTCGATGCGCCGCTGCGGCGACTCGTGCAGCCGCCCGCTGGACGCGCCTGCACGGCCACGACGCGATGCGTGAGACGCGCGACGCGATGAAACTGATGAGGAGCGACGAGCGAAACGCGGGTGAAGGGAACCATGCAGGGGGAGGAGCGTAAACACGAGACGAGCTGTGGCGGCCTATTCTGACGCGTACCGTCCGACAAGGCGTCGACGATGGCGGTGAACTGCCGCTCGTACGCCTCGAAGGTCGCCATGCGCGCCACACCGCCGGTCACACCCGCCGCGAGGGAGACGATGCGAGGGAGATGATGCGAGGGAGACGATGCGAGGGAGATGATGCGCGGGAGACGATGCGAGGGAGATGATGCGAGGGAGACGATGCGAGGGAGATGATGCGAGGGAGACGATGCGAGGGAGATGATGCGCGGGAGACGATGCGACGGCTACGCGTCTGGAATGCGCGGCGACGTGTGCGGCGAACAGGGGTTTGCGGAAAGCCAAGAAACGAAACTGGACTAATGCGAGGGATTTGAACGGAAAAATTGCGCGACGCGACAGATCCCGAACTTCACTCAAATCCATCGACCAAGCTCGCACCACAGATAGGGCGATCCGGACCTTGGCCAAATGGATCGACCTACAAACGCTTCTACGTTATTTTCATGCTAGAAACGCGGTAAAAATGTGTTACAGGTGCCATTTGGTTTTACGGTCAGAATCGCGAAATTACAGCTTGAGGTTCCGATTCTTCCAACATATATATTTGGTTTCGCTACACGACGCTACCGAGTGAGTCAGCATGCTGACCGCGGGCAAACAAAATAAACCCCATGGCTTACGGCATGCCATTCGGGAGCCTCAACCCTAAAATTTTAGGGTTGAGGCTCCCGAATGGCATGCCATCCGAATGGGGTTTATTTTTTTTCTTGCCCGCGCAATATATATTCCAGTAAACAAGAAACGTGTCACGCGCACCAAACATAATCGCGCTTCCGAAACAATGACATCGAGAGGGACCACCGACTCTTTCGCATCAGAATTGTCTGTCTTTATCGCAAATGCGCATGTAGGTCGATCCATTTGGCCGAGGTTCGGATCGCCCTACCTGCGGTGCGAGCTTGGTCGATGGGATTGAGAGAAGTTCGGCGCCTGTCGGGTCGCGCAATTTTTCCGATTTGAACTCAACCAGATTGACTGTTCTGCCAGACCGTACTTCGCGCCTTCCCTACCTTAGCGTTGGTGCTGTGGCCTATGGTGCTGTTCGCCAGCAAATCGTTTCTTGAATAGAAAACGATGGCATCGGCATCGCGAACGCATCTGGAAACGGGGGCGGAACCCTCCGCTGAGGTTTGGGCGTAATGCCGCCCAAGAAACTTCGCGCACCCGTAAGGCGAAATTACACAACCGCGTCGGGAAGGTCCATCCCCACCTTCCCTCCAAAGGCGCGAAACTGTAGCCTCACTAACCCTTGTGCTGCCCGCTGACCAAAATTTGCTCAACGTGGGTTAAAAACGCAAATAAAACACCCCCTGCTCAAACACAACCCCCGCCACCTCGTGCTCATGCCCAGACACAACTCGAAGGTGTGGTTGGGAGGGGAAAATGGGGGGTATACGAACCACAGCAAACTGCAGGCTTGTTCAGAGGTTCCCCTCTGAACAGCAATGCGACGGCCTACTGTGCCACCGCTGTGCTTCGAAAAACGCGGCATGACGATGGCATGGCTTGGGGATGGTAATTTGCCTGGGGACGAAGTTTCGTCGCTGCTTCCATATGACGTCGAACCGTTAGATTTGGTGGACAAATGTGGGCTTTCGCCAGACGCCCACTTTGTTTGTTGGTTTGGACGGTAGGTGAGGCTCGGCACTTTTTTCACGGGCTGACCAGGCTGACGGAGGTTAACGAACTCTAACTGACGGGATCAGGAAGGCGAGACTCACCTTCCTGATCTCGTCGTTATCTCGTAGTTTTTTGCTATAATGGTGCTGGCGAACAGCCCCTATATGTTGTTTAGTCGACGAAGTTCTGCAGAGAGAGTTGGTCGTGGCCTTGTTCGGCTGGCGCAGTCCACACCGCCAGACACTCGGGGATGGTGCGCAAGGAAAATTGAGGCCTGGGATTGGATGTAAGGATGCGGTGCAGATCGGCCCGAACTGATTGAGATTGCATCAGATTGGGGCAATCCACCTTTCCAAGAAGCCGCATGAGTTACTTGAGGCAATCGCATGCAATCGGGGGCAATCTGTCGATTGCAATCGGAAATTCGATCTATTGCGATCGATTGCCCCGATCTGACGCAATCGCTTGGGATCGATTGCAATCGATAGATTGCCTCAGATCGCGTGGCCTGGCGAGAGTTGCGAAGAGTAACTACCCTGACGAAATTAAGCACTGCTCGTAGCACCTTCGGATATCGCAATATCGAAGGCATGGAAGATTCGGTATCCCAAAATGGGGCTACATTGTAATTGCGCGATACAGAATTGTCGCCAGGTGTCACCAACTTTGTGAGGAAGGAACTTGTGAGTAGCATAAAACCCACACAGCTAGTTCTAATTCACTACCCCGAAATTCATGGCCTGATCGCGCGGCTCGGGAAGCAATCGACAGATTGCCTCAGATTGGGGCAATCACACCCAATCTGATCCGACCCGACCCGATCGGACGATCTGAGGCGATCGATCGTCCGATCTGCACCGCGTCCTAAGGACTTACGATTCCTTACTACTCACACTTTAGCGAGTACATCCCGAGGGTCACGCGACGAATCTGTTCGGCCTATTTCGTCGGCGGAACCATTCCCGAGTCGGCCTCCGCACCAATCGCAATCACACCCTATTTAGTCGTGCCTTTCTAATTGTATCGTCATTGTGTAGTTCAGTATTATTGTTATACGTTTACTACACAATCTCTAAGTTCATTCATAGCATTGGGCATGCGATCAGGTAACCATTTTGTATATATATATAAATAATTTTTTTTGTTTCGTTCTTACGGACTGTCCATATATTGACGTTTCGCAACTTTGGCCCGTTTGGATGGAAATGTGAAACTTTTTTTCGTGTTGTACAGTTCCGCGATACTATAGCTTTGTTCACGACTCTGTATCGTTGTTATTTTATTCGACTTACATCAAAGTTATTGTTCGTGCGCCAATCATTCGAGGTACTCTACTATTTATTTCGTCCGCCAATCTATGGTCAATATCCTTGGACCATCCGTTTGGGTTTCGGACTGTCCATGGTTCGCATTTCGAACCGTTGGAAAGAAGAAGTGTCGCGATGGTTCGTTTTGTTAACGACGTCGCACAAGCATTCACGAACGCACTAACGGTATCATGCGACTACGGTATCTCTTCGCCGGCACGGACGGTCCACAGTTCGAACGGTCGGGGACAAAATGGTTACACGCCCTTTGGGGAAACCCCCTTTGGTACTACCCCGGCTGTCGGTCGTAAACCGCCTACCCATTTGTTTACACGCCTCGCTGGGTATCGAGGTAGGAATATATCCATTCCCAGATGAGAAGTACGAAACCCCTTTTTGGGGAGCTGGCTGAACTCGCCGGCACTGAGGTTTGAATCCGGAACCTCATCCTTCGGAAGTCCCACCTAACTTGACTGGGCCACTTCAGGATGGGCATGCGACCAAGGCTGTCTGTCAACAGCAGTGGTGGCAGATTCAGCTGCACCAACCCCTCAGCCAAGGTAGAAGCAACAGGCAAAGGTGCATGTGGCGGCAGGTCGCCTGGAGAGCGGGTGCGTGCGGCGGCACAGCAGGGCTCAACGGCAACACCTGCTGTTCAATAGAAGAAGACAAGTGCGACAACAGGAGGTGCCATGGTAGTAGCGGGCGGCAGCTGCAGATGCCTAGCTGACTTCCGCCACCATCTCACCCTCCCCCCTCACGGCGGCATGCGCGGCAGTGAGAGAGAGAGAGGAGGAGGGGCGGCTGCTGGCTCGGCAAAATCTCTCTCTCCACTCCCTCACACTCTCCACCTTTCCCCTCACCCTCATCCCGCAACCTCTCCCCCCCTCAAGGCGGACCCCGCGGAAGGGAGGGGGGCGTGGGCTCCCGCTGGCGCTGGTGTTCGCGCTGGTGCCTGGAGCTGGCGTCGGGGCTGGCGCTGGCGTCCGCGACGGCGTCGGGAGCAGGTGTCCGTGCTGGCGTTGGGCGCTGGCGGCCGCGCTGGCACCTGGCGCTGGCGTCCGCATTCGGTGCTGGGCGCTGGCGTCGGTGCGCGCGTTCACGGCGAGCGGCGGGGCGACGGGAAGGCAGACGACGCGGTAGCACGATACAGGGGGCTGCACCCAACTCGCCGTCGCACTCTTAGCTGAGGCCGCTGCGACCGTCAAAACTAATGGTGCGACGCAGAGCGTGACGAAGGGCGTGATGAGCGCCATAAGCGAAAAAATCGGTGGGTCCATCAGGAACGAAACCGCTCTGATACCATGTCACAATACTAAATTATGCTAAGACTAGGGTTTGGGGTAGGAGGAGACTTGAGAGAGGAACATGTCGAAAGAGTTAAGCCAAAGAGATTCAATAATGAGAAATGGTACAAAGTTATAGGCAAAGAAACAAGTGTTGCACCACCAATAGTTCATAATAGCTACACTAAACTGCAACTGCAGGCAGTTACAGATATATTCCAACACTGTCCATATCCCTAGGGGCAGCCCTCAGCTGCTTAAATTCCGGCCCTTATTTTCAGGGAGGTCACGAGCGCAGGCCGAAGTATAAACCTGGAACCCGGTGTTAAAATAAGGGTGCACATTCATGGGGATTGTTTTTGGGGGTATTGTTAGTGACAACCTATGAGAATTGCTGATTCACATGCGAAGTGAAAAGGGGTTCGTAAAGCGGGTGTGATGTGAGGAACAAGAAAAGCGAGACCAACCAATTTCGTTCAGGGTTGATCACGCACGCTGCAGGGCGGAACTCAAGCCCCCTGCTCAAACAACTAAGGGGCCGATAAAACATGTCTCCGTCAACCTGACAAATCTGAACTGAACTAGAGTTGGAAAGCCATCACGCTACCAGGAAAGAGGCTCGTCGTTCTCTCGTCGTTCCTGCACGAACGCCGTGGCACAACATGAACTAGCTTGCGCCGCAGTCTGCTGTACTTGCGACAGGGAGGGGAGAGTTGCAGCTTGCGACTTTAAGGAGCATCCCCTTTACAAATTCATCACCAACCAACCCGCGCGTCCTCATTTCTCTCCGCCCTCTCCCCGTCCCTACCTCTCCTCCACCCTCTTCCCATGCTACGGCTAGCTCTTGTTCTTCCCCTCCCCTTTTTACCTCACGAAATGCGTCAGCGATCTTGTCGAAGGAGCCCTCTTTCATTCTTGATGCCCACCTGCCGCCGCCGCTCTGCCTTGTGCGGGTCCTCGAACATCACCACCAGGCGGATCTGCACGCGGCAGGCGCGCGGAGATTGGTGTGCGGAGGTGTGGGGGTAGTTGAAATGCGGACAGTAGGGAGGTGAGCGAAGCGTGCGATGTCACTAGAGTCCCAAATGTCGCGAAATTGACGAATGTCGCAAGAGCTTTAGGCGAGCGGGAATCACCTCAAGAATGCCATGTATGCCTACTCAAGACCGCGCCTCCTCAGCTGCGACTCCCCATCCATCCCTTCTGCCGCCGCCGCTACTGGCCGCACGGGCCGCGACGCCAGAACCAATTGTCGCGATGATACGCTT